GGGACCCCGGGAAGCCCACCGAGAGCAAACCGTGGCTGATGCACACCGTGAGCGAGGAGCCCGGGGTGCAGGCTGGGGGACGGGGTCTCCACGGGCAGCCCCGCGCTGTGGTGAATGCCTGGGCTGCAGCAGCTCAGCATTTGCCAGTCGTGCTCTTCTCTCGGGGTCCACATCCAGCTGAGCACGGGGCTAGGAAGACCCTTGGCCTGAGCCAATGTGCTCCATCTGTGATCTGGCAAGAAGCGGGGGGGTCCGTAGGGACCTCTGTAACCCCAGTTCCCATCCTGACGCACCACATGGGGTCACTGCTCCCCGGCGCGGTGGGAGCTGTGGGGCGCAGGCGGGTCCCGGCCGCAGCGATGCCTCTCCCGCGAGCGCACGGGGGTGGCAGAGCCCAGGGGGGCTGCTTGGGGCATCACCCCGGGAAGGGCAAGAGCTGTGCCCGCAGCACCGGACCCAGAGCGCTGGGGGCACAGGCGCCATGGGGGGCGCCCTGCAGCTCCACGGGGGTCACGCGCGTGCCCGTTCCCAAGGCAGCTGCGGGACGGAGCCGGATACTGTGGGCTGATGGAAAAACTCCTCCAGGACCTGACCCCACACTGTCTTGAGCAATCCCCAGGAGGTCCCCAAGAGGTTCCAACCATGCAGGAGGTGATGGATCTTGCCCCCCGTCTGCCTGTACCCATTCCCACGACGGGACCCGAGGGGCTCTAACGCTGCAGGTCCCCAACCCCTTCGACCACCATCCGGCACCACGGCAGCAGGCAGCAGAGCCCCGGTGGTGCCCCAGCTCCCTGCAAAGGGCAGGGATGGGGACGGTGCCAGGGAGGGCACCCTGGCCCTGCTGCCCACACATACGGGCTCCCTCACCTCGGTGCAGGGGACGAGTGGCGGCTCCAGGACAGCTGAGAATCCTGCAAAGCCGAAAGCATCACGTGGTGCTCGGAATTTCTTAGAGCCAGCGCAGGTTTAATCACGCGATGATCAGGCTGTTAAGCCTGGTAGCAGTAAGTGCTGAGGTTCTTATCTCCTAATTACTTCAGCAAATTTTAATGAGTCCAGCAGTATTACCTAAAATCCCCTCGCAGGGGAAGCCATGTCTCCGGGGACAGACCTGGGACAGTAAGGGCAGGGGGCGATGGCTCGGTGCTGCTGCAGACCTTCCCTGGCCATGAGCCCGGTCTGTGAGTCCGTCAGTCTGTACGGCCCCCCAGGGAGAGAGGGGAGCAGCACACGGAACGCAATTCAAGGCTGCGGACACAGAGCTTGGCAGCTTGTGGGCCTCCTGGCCTTTGCTTTCTGTGGGATTGGCATCAGGAGCCGAGCGATTAACCCCAGAGGT